AGGAGGTTGCTCCCCGCTGATATTGTTATTACTGCCCTCCCTGTGAGCCTCCTCCCACCCCACCCCCCGGGAGGGTGGCTGAGGAGGCCTCCAGCCCACCTGTCACCTGGACGCCAGCCTGGTGGGCACAGCTTCTGATGCCTGCCGTGTGCCCCTCCAGCCTGGAGGCTTTGTTGCAACCTCCCCACCCCCACCACACCCCACCCCTGCAGGACTGCCTCCAGGCTCACACCACAATAAATGCTGGCTTGGGCTGAGCTGGTGTCCCGGGTGTGGATCTTCTTGGGGGACCTACAATGGGGACCAGCTTCCGCTTTCTGGAAGGGCATCGAATGATCTGAAACATCAAGGGGAAGTTGGTACGACCATTCCTCTGGCATGAGCTGGGGATCCCACACTGAGGGACATAGAGTACAAAGGGTCTTCTATTGCCCCTGGGTGAGTGGAATCCCCCCTGTCCATGGAGGGGCATAAAGCTATACCAGGTCAGGGCTCTGTAGACAGGACAGCAAATAAAGCCCTGGCCTTATGCTGACCACCGAGCCAAGAATAAGGCCCCAAAAAAGAAGAGAAATATTAAATGAAATTACACCAGATCAGGGGCTGGAGCGATTGCACAGCAGATAGGGCATTTGACTTGCACACGGCTGACCCGGGTTCGATTCTTCCATCCCTCTCGGATAGCCCAGCAAGCTACCGAGTATCCCGCCCGCACGGCAGAGCCTGGCAAACTCCCCATATCATTCGATATGCCAAAAACAGCAACAAGTCTCACAATGGAGACTGGTACAGGTGCTCGCTCGAGCAAATCAATGAACAATGGGATGACAGTGCTACAGTGCTACACCAGATCAGCAGTGAGTGCTCTCACCCCAAACTGGCCCAGAGCAGGCGGCTCTGGTCGCTGGTCAGAACAAGGCACCGCTAGTGCTGTACACATGCATGTGCCCAGACAAAGGCCCTGGGAATATCTCACAGACCCACATCTTCCTCCACACAGGCCCACGGGGCTGAGATGGCCGTGCTGGCTGGCACTGCCCAGCCTTCAGCTGAGGAGGAGGTTGAGGCTTTATGTTACAAAAATAAGTGAGCAGAGACAATAGGCTTAATAGAAGGTTTTAGACATAGAGGCAGGAAGACAAAGTCGCTGACTTCAAGAGGCCAGAGATGTCTCCTCAAGCCCTCAGAGGTGCCCTGGGGCTCCTCTGCCTGCAAACTCAGAAATTGTACATGCTGCAGGCCCACACGAGTGGGCCAGGCTGGCAGAAAGTGGCCGGGGATGATGAGCAGGGAAGGCCCCCTCTCTGCGACCAGGCTCAAACTATCCTATAGTCAAGTGGCAGCCAAATCTGGCGCCTGCAGAGGTCCCAGTGCAGGGTGGACTGGACAGGAGAGGGAGATGTGATCCTGGGAGGGGACCAACACCCCCAGGAGGAGCCTGCCCTCCTTCGGTTCATGCCCCACAGCAGCCCAGGGCTGTTCAGTGGAGGAGAAAGCCCAAGGCGAGCCAGCACTGGCCTCGGGCATTCCTGATCTGCCTGAGAGAGAGGTGGAGCTGGACTGGGTGTGAGGGTCCAGGGACTTTTCCATTTTCTGAGTCTGGCATCCCTGATACTCTTAAGACTTGAGGAATGTGAGATGGGCGACAGTGTCCCTCTCTCTGGATTAAGCCAACCCTCTCTCCCTCTCCTTCTCTCTCTCTCTCTGTCTCCTCCCTCACTCACTCTCCCTCCCTTTCTTCTCTTCTTCTCTCCTTACCCTCTCTCAATCTCTCTCCCTCCCCTTCCCTTCCCTCTGTCTCTCTCTCTCTCTCTCTCTCTCTCTCTCTCTCTCTCTCTCTCTCTCTCTCTCTCACACACACACACACACACACACACACACACACTTCCTTCCTCCCGAGATTCTGGCCCCACCCAGCAGTGCTCAAGGCTTACTCCTGGCTCTGCACTCAGGTATCACTCCTGGCAGGGCTTGGCGGGGAGGGGGACACCATATGGAGTGCCAGGGTTCTAACCCACTTGGGTTGTATACAAGACAAATACAGTACCCACCACACGATTCTCCACCTTTCTCCAAGGTCATGAACAGGTCCCTGCCCCTCTCTGTGCCTCTGTTTCCCCACCTGTACAATCAGGGAGGGTCCTGGATGACGAAGCTCCTGGTAAGGACTTGGGTGGCTAATGAGCGGGTTGCCCAGAGTCCTCTACCACAGGGAGGAAAGAGCAGCTGAGAACAAGGAGCCCCATGCCATCTGGAGGGCACGCAGAGAAGAGGATGTGCGGAGATGGGGCTCAGAGAAAGGAGAGAAGAGAGGTGCGTGCAGGAGGGTCATGGAGCGGGAGAAGAGGAAGAGAGGAACAGAAATTGGGGGAGGGAGACCAGCCCCCAGTGTTCCAGCTCAGAGACTCCTGGGGGGCCTGGCAGCCCGTTCACTCACTGCCGTGGCCTGCGACCCCCCGTGAGTGAGTCATGGCTTCTGGGTGAGAGAGATCCCAGGAGAGGAGCAATGAATGTGCCACAGAGTGACCTAAGACAGGGCTGCAGAAAGAGAGGGCAGAGTGGGTCCAGCCCTGCGAAGTGGCAGGAGGGCAAAAGGAAAGTGGTGGGCATTCCAGAATGAGAAGACACAACACTGACGGGAAGGCAGAGGTCCGGGGCTGCCATCGGGGTTCCAATGGGTGGGGCAGGAGCGGAGATGAGCAAGAGAAGAATTTCTCCCCCCTCCCCACTTCCCTCCAGCCCCTAAGACCGGCGGCTCAAGAGCCCTTTACAAGCCAGCGTGACTCCTCTCTCGCCACCTGGTGGGCAATTGGAGCACTGCAGCAAGGTGGCCTCAGGCTGTGCGGATCACCAGGAGATACCAGGACTGTCCCCAGCTCCGTTTCGGGCCAGTACAAGGGACAGGAGAGGATAACCCCAGCGACAGCCTGTGGCTCACCATGATCCTGGCTCTGGTTCCAGCTGTGACCCTGGATTGGACTGTCCCTGGCTGTACACTAAACTCACTCCTGTCCCGGGGGGCGGCATCCAGAAGACTCAGGTGGGCAGATCCTGGGACACGAGGACCAAGACTCTCCTGCCACAGAGATGCCATCCCAGCCTGTTTCCGCCTAGCAGAGGCCCCCCTGGCTCCATTCCTGCTACCTCAGGGCACAGCGTCCTGGCCGCACCCACATGTGGTGTCCAGGTGTCTCGGGAGCATAAGGTGCCCAGAATCCAAGCAAGGAGGTGCACGGACCCCTGGAACCAGGAACCTGGAGGAGGTGTCTTAAATGACACCAAGGGCATGCAGAGTGTGAAGGTTGGGGCTGCGTGGGCTGCCGAGAGGGGCCCCAGGAAAAGGCCCGGCTTGGCTGCTGCCCAGCTCTCAGGTGAAGGCGCGGGAAGAGGCAATTTGGGGGCGATGAGGAGCATATTTGGGACATGCTGAATGTAAGACACGCAGGACTCCTGGGCAAGTGGGATGGAAGGTGATGAAGCCCAGGCAAGGAGTCAGGGAGACCAGGGCCACCCCACAGGGGGCTGAGCTGGGACCCTGTACCCAGGCAGCCCCTTCAGGCGTGCCGGCCTCAGATGGTGTGAGGAGTTGGGGGGGGGCCTCCATTTCCACCACTCACCCTGGTCTGCTTTAGGGGAGCAGTGAGCCTGCCCGGCTCCCCAGGGGGAACAGGAACTGCTTTCCCCTCTCCCGGGGGGAAAGGCGGCCCACAGCTGGCAGTCATTAACACCCTGCAGAGGCCACGGGAGGGATATTAATAGCCACAAGTTGATGGCCTTTGGAGACAGCCTCCAAGGAGGACAGGACTAGGCAGGCCATGGGGACGAGGAGGACCACGATGCCCCGGCTCCAGCCCAGGACACGTGGGCCGAACAGAGTCCAGAGAAGAGAAGGGACTTGCTTAGAATGTGCAGCAGGTCATTGGCATGCTGGCCCTGACCCCACTTCTCAAAACCCCCGAGTCCTGCCACATTAGGCACATTAGCAAAGGTGAGAGTCGCTGGAAGTGGCCCGTGTGGCCACGAAGTAGCATGCACAGCTATAATGTCGGCTCTTTCTCTAGTTTTATGATGTAAAATAGTTTTATTGAGAGAAAGAGAAAAAAACCAGGCTACTCCAAAGGAAAGAGTGC